CAGTGTGAAATAAAACAGATATACTTAGGTGTATATTTATATAAGTTTTTTTTCTTCAAAAACTTATAGCCACCCTCCACTCTAAAATGTGTTTTGCTTACAATTAGCTTGGATGTTTGCGCTTCACTGCAGAATGATGTGTGTGCAGAGTCTGTCACTACAAGGCCATTTTTACAATATCTGAAGGGGTAAAGTTTGTTAAGACTCATGTACAAACAGGATTTCGTGACATCGCAGCTGCTTTGGAAACCAGACATGCAAGCAACTTATGCAAGTGTGATGTTGAAACCTCTAGTGCCCATGTCTGACAGAGGGCTTTTCAGTGATGTAGGAGACAGTTTGTAATTAAGTTTTCTGTGGAATAATCATATCAGACACCAACATGAGAATATTTCAATGTCTAAAAATATGTCCGGAAAGAATCTTTATACCATTAATGCATTCCTTTGAATTTGATATACATACATGATCACATTATTTAAACTTATCCTTGCTACAAATGCAGCAGAAAAGGAGGAGAAATTGTTTATAGTGAGTTGTGTTTGACTCATCAGGAGCTCCACTCAGCATGTGTCTAAGGGCAGAGAGGGTCTGAATGTCATCCAGAGAGTGTGCTGCTGCTGAGCTTTGCCTTTGGCTTACTCTGCATATTCATATGATGTTTATATAGTAGATGGAGCAAAGGTCATAAAAACCTTACGTAAATAGATACAAGTAAGTAGGCAATACAGATCTAAACTGCTGTCATAAGGCAGCATCAGGTTCTGCCTCAAATGCATCCTCTTCACATCACACCTACAATGTGTCCTCATCAGTTCAAAATTGGGGGAGAAAAAAAAAACACAATCTAATTCTGTCTGAGTGGTGGGTGGCAATGTACTACAGTGTACTACAGTGCTGATAGGAATGACAGTCAGCCAGCAAAGCAGAGATAAAGGTAATCTCAATCTTTTTGATGCCATGTTCGATCACACAGGTAGACAGATTAAAAGAGACATGTAGTAGATCAAAAGAACTGTCAGCCTCCATCTCTGTGATGCTGCGGCTGGTTTAGGAAGTCACTTTCAACGTCTGTGTATGACATCAACACTACAAACAAAGGCCACTCAGAAAAGACAGCCTATGCACACATCTATTGAAATAGAAATCACATGATTACTTTGTTGTTGGTATCAGACGTCTACAGTGGAATGCTTGAACTACAAATGATATGTGCTTTATGGGGACGTTTTTATAAATGTATATAGGGTATAGTTGAAAAGAGAGGGAACGAATATAATTTTCACGAGAGATTAGGTGTTAATACAGTCCCAACTTCACCCTCACTAAATCTAATTTGAATTTTGACATAGTTCCCTTGGAGAGGAAAAAGAGAAAAACATTATTCTTAAAGGAACATTATTCTTAAGCCAGAATTATCTTGTAACACCTGTAATTTTGGGACATTTGGTGTGGATATGTGAACATGTGAAAATGACAGTCATGAGACCTTGCACAACTGCTGTGAAAGAACCAATGGTAATTTTGTGGGCATGTAGCTGCGAAGCTGTTCTCTGTATCGTGAAATGAAACTCATTATCAAGGAAAGCATTAATAAATGTTCCTCATGTCTAACCCTCTGCTCACTGTTTGCCATTCCCACAGCAAGCCACATGTGAACAGAAACAAAAAGCAGTCATTCATGTGCCTGTTTTTGGGTGAAACTGAGATTTCACACTTGGTAATGTACCTTAAGCTTTGGCAGCTGTACACAGAGAATATGGGCCTCGGGTCATCTTATATGCAGAGATGACAGCAAAGGCGTCTTTGAAACTCAAGGAAATAGATCTGTCCAATTGCAAATCCATTCTAATGTAAGCATATGGAGTAGGCTATATTAGGTTGTTTTGGAAACCATAATTTAAAGGAGCTATTTGATGGTTTTGCTATTGCTTTATAGCTAACGTTAGCATTAGCAGCTGTTTAGTTACCAGTCTAGAAGAAATGCTGTGAGTTCAGCATCAAACTTTATTCCTTTATTCACCAAGAGCTGTCTCTTGCAACCATCTTACTGTGCTTCTATTTCTATCACTTCCTTTCTTCTACTGAAGTTAGCATGCTAACCAGCTAGCCCCATCTCATCACTTTCCGATACCAGGTCACTGTAGTGCCCAGGCTGCCCTGAGGGAGTAACGCTGCTAAGAGGACGTTTTATAACCACTTGTCTTGTAAACACAACAGTGGCTGAAGCTACCAGCAAGACTGATAAGTAAAAAGCTGTTGATGCTAATTTTGGCTATATAGCAATTGCAAAACTTACAACAAGCTGATGATAACAGTTTTTCAGGATTTTAAATTATTCCTATGGCATCATTTCTAGACAACAGAAACAATCCAGACAATATATGTCCAAGCCTGAATGTCTTTTTACCCATGCTACAAACATATCTCTATGGATGGCAATGTTGATATAAGCCGACAACTTTGGTACCAATTGAAATATCTCAACAACCTTTGGTTGATTGCCATGAAATTTGTTAAACATTTCCTGGAGCCAAGCAGCAGGTTAAATTTATCATTTGTCCAATTAGTTTGTTTTGTTTAGTTTTGAAAAATGGTATCTGCAAAAGTATTTCCAGTAGCCTTAGAGTCAGTTTTTCATTTCAGACTCGCCTGGAAAATATTTAATGTTGCATTTTGTTGTACACATGAAAGTGCTACAAATAAAAGTGAAAACAGAGAACTAGAGAGATAAGAGTAGCCTATTGTTTAGCCAATTTAATGAGTTGAAGATGCTTTGTATTCCTGATAGCTTTAATTTCTCTCTGTTACCATGCTGGCTATTAAACAGGCCGACAGGTTGGTTTTAACACATTTCTGACTATGAGATTAGCAAAAACATTTTCACACAAAAGTCAAATTTCATGCTGAGCTGATTAAAAAAAAAAAAAGTGGAAGGGAAAGCAGCTCTTTTGGTGGAAAAAACTCTACTTCAGATCCATTTTAAAAGACAAAGATGTTGCTCCAGATGAGAGTGAAATTACAGGAGGACCAGCAAGGTCCACATAAAACTAGTATGTTATTACAGCTGCAATTAATTCTGGGGTGGGGGTGGAATATTACCCACATATTCACTCCAGATGGGATTAAAATCACTGACCAGTGCAGGTGATGTTAAAATCAGCCCACCTGCACTATTAAAGGAAGCAGGAAAAAATATAAAGACCAATAAAGCACACATTCAAATAATCTACAGCTCTATCCATATCACTATTTACACAGATCACATCATTCAAGAAGCTAAAGAAAACTGTGTCCACATATTAATTGGACTGTATGTAAGTTATAAAAAGGTGTAAAAATTAAAATGTGATTAAGAGCGTTGTTTCACTCTATGAGTGAGGGTGATAGTACAAAGGAGAGGCTGCAGCTTGTAAAACCGTTGTGTCTCATTCGAACAAGCACAGACAATCCTATAAATAATTCAATGTGGGAGCAGTGCCTGAGTATCCACTGGGGCGGACTATTTGATATTTCATTCGGTGTCAAAAGGCTAAGTCTGATTTTATACAGATAGGATTTTTTTCCCCTGTAAGCCAGTGGGATGATCAAGTGTGTATCTGTGAGGCCAAGGTTCAGTTCTTTGAAGGAGGTAAAGCCTTTCATATTAAGTGATCTCAATCTGATTTACAAATGATTAAATAACAAGTTTTTAAAGGGGGTTTTCACTGTGCTGTGGGCTACAGCAAATGCATGCTTTTCTTGCATGCATATTCACACACTAAGGTAATGGATTATCAAGCCTCCACCACCCCTTCACACCCCATGGAATACCTCTAATAAATTATAAACAGCTTTGAAAAACTACCACACAATCAACTGTAGGCATCTCAAAAGTACATTACACATGTTTCACAGGAGACACCGCACATAAAGAGCCATCCATACATTATTCATATCTCAATTAACTAGCCATATTAGACCCGTACCTCACACATTAACCTCTCCTAACAAGCTTTTATCCATTTGTTCATTTGACACATTACAAACTTAAAAGAACAATAAAGACTTTTACAAACATCTGTTGTCATGGATCTTCATCACGTTACGACAAATATAAAACAGAATAGCGACAGAGCAAGTAACGACCTGGAGCAATGAATTATGAATGAAGAGGGAAATACATAATTTAGTGGGATTTGTTGCATATTTTATGGTAATCATTTTCCTTTCATTTATGAATCTGAATTGCCTTACTGTAACACAGACATTAAAATGCAACAAAAAAAAGATATTACAATGCAGCAAGTAGTCAGTTAAACTTTTTTAAATGTTTGATGATTTTTGTGAAATTGTGTAATATGGTGATGTGTTTCTTGGTTAGAGGAGAAAACTCTTCACCTGAAAGTCAGCAGGTTTTTATTCACAAAAGGGAAATAAGGTCAAAGAAAATATAATACATCTCTTTATCTGTGCTTCTCTTTATAGAAATTGAAATCCTGTTTTTTCTTCTTCTTCCATATAACACTTAGCTTCATTGTTGTCTTGAATAAATGAAATATTACAGATTTGGCTCATTCTCCTATTTTTATATCATCAATGAGCTCTTGAGCAAGGCACCCAACCACCAACGTCTCCATGGAGGTGCTGCAATATCTGACCTACAAAACTGAAGTACTGCTAGATATTATTATAATATATGTATGAATTTAATGTATGCACCCATCTCTGACCCTGCATCTCCCATATTAGCTCCCCAGAAATAAAACGAGGGTTACAAAAAAAAAAAAACTTAACCGTGCATTTGAAATGGCCTTTAGTGAGATGCTGCCACCTCCTGCTAGCTAGGAGGTAATGCATTTCTACAGCTGCTACCACCACTGCTCGGATGCATGTATTTAGTGAAGGTGACACACTTGCAGTATCATCTCTGCTATAAGGAATGTGAACTCTGTGATCTCTAATTTATCCCCAGCTTGTCACCGTGTGTTTACACTTGACTTTCTCTGATGATTTCACAGAACCTGTCTGACAGTGACATGAGCAAGTTTAGTCTCATCCACCAACCGTAAGTAACACTTCTATACCGCTGTCATCACACACGTCAATCATACCCCACAAACCCAGCAATTCTTTTCTTTTGTTTTTGTTTATTGTACTGTGCTGTACTGGGTACTATGTATTGTATCGTCTGCTGCTGCTGTCATGAGAGTGACACATTTCAGGAGCACAGAAGTTACTGACAAAACATAGAATGCTCCTCATACTGATTGGGATAGTCTACATATTTTTTGTCATTATTTTTATTTATTTATTCATTTATTTATCTATTTTTAGTACTGATTTAGTATTTGAGTAATTTAAATGACATGATTATACACAAGGGCAATGTGCTTTATGTCTACAAACCTCCATACTTCCAATACCATCCAAACCTTAATACTTTAAAATAACAGGATGCCTCAGAAATGTGCGTGTTTGTGTGTGTACATGCAAATAGTTTGTACTTGTACACACATACAGCTGGATTAATGTGTGTGTGTGTGTGTGCGTGTGCGTGTGCGTGTGTGTGTGTGTGTGTGTGTGTGTGTGTGTGTGTCTATGCAGATGTGTGTAGAGAGGTTTGCCTGTCTGACTGCACCTGCACATTTGTCAGCATGTTTGTTCTTGTTTGTGATGAATGTTCCTGTTCATGTATCCCCACGTGTATGCATGTTTATGTGAGCGTGTGTGTGTGTGTGTGTGTGTGTGTGTGTGTGTGTGTGTGTGTGTGTGTGTCTGTGTGTGTGTGTGTGTGTGTGTGTGTGTGTGTGTGTGTGTGTGTGTGTGTCTGTGTGTGTCTGTGTGTGTGTGTGTGTCTGTGTGTGTGTGTGTGTGTGTGTGTGTGTGTGTGTGTGTGTGTGTGTGTGTGTGTGTGTGTGTCTGTGTGTGTCTGTGTGTGTCTGTGTGTGTGTGTGTAAACTGACACTATTAGATTGAAATGAGTCAGTCAGTCGAACTGGCACTTGGCATTTTATATGTAATATTTATAATTGATATATAATTAATAAGGACATTTGTGTCTGAAAATGCACCTTTCAGCTAAAATATGATGAAAGTAAGATTCAGTGTGAATTTATGGTTTAACACAAATTAAAATTATTACAAAATTAAAATTTTAATTTTTACAATGTAAAAATGAAAATCCATTTCCAAATCCATTTCACATTTTATTATATATGAGGTAAGATTTTTCTTTTGAACTCACTGAAAATTATTTATTTATCTTATTTTAATCTTGGCACTAATGGTGGATTTTGATAACATCAAATTAAAATTGCATTTAAAAAATGTTGCACAGTATATCTTGCACATATATGGCAAATTAAATTTCGCTCAATTAAATTCTTTCAAAAATATTGTCAGTCCAAAAGTAAACCCATACTTTTCTCTTTGAGTTCCTGTTTTTATGTGATTAATCATACACTCGTTGAACAAGGAAGCCACATGTTATTTCTATAGCGTGCAGTGTGTCCATTGGTCTTCCTGGACAGTTGAACTCAATGTAGAAATTTACCTTTTGGAACAACTTGTGGAACAAAGAAAGAAAGAATGAGCTGGAAAACAAAGTTTATATTTCACTTATAAGCATACAGGTGTCCTATTCACATTTCCTGCAGAGCAGCTCCAGACTAAATGCTGACTATAGGCTTTTTTTTCTTATGAATCATGCACAGTTGGCTCCTTAAAAATCCACAGTATGGACTTTTTCTCACCACAGACAACATGTTTGGTTCGTCACTTCTGCTGTGGTTCACTGTGATTAGAGTTAGAGCAGGCATTTATCAGACATTATTTTGCGAAACATCAGCATGGTGATCACACACACACATACACATGTAGGCACACATGTTGGTCTTTCCATAGTTATGAGGACACTTGTTGACATAATGCATTCTGTAGCATCTTACCCTAACCCAGCGGTACCCAACCTTTTCCGACTCGCGGTGCATTTGCAAATCTCCGAAATGTTAGTGACCAACATCGGACCCCATAACAATACAAGTGTCCCGTGTGGTCCAGTCAGCGACAACATAAAATCTCCTGTCATAAGCTTATCGCAGTAATAGGCCTTAATATGAAAAAAAAAACAATGAAAGTTTTTTGAAAACATTATAAAGCTGTTCAAATCATTTCATTTTAAGACATTTAAAAACATTACTTATATTTAAATTTTTTATAATTACAAAAAACTGTACCAAACTATACTGTTTGGTATTTTGGGAAAGTGAAGACATTTTTGGCTGTACTGCTTGGTACAGTTTGGTACTGATTTGTCGGGCCATTTGCAAAACCCTCGTGGCCCATAGGTTGGAACCACTGCACTAATCTTAACCATCTCAATGAAATGATCTAAACCTTATTCTAACCTTAGCCCCAAAACCAAGTCTTAGCCATCAAACAGCCCCTTGAATTTGTGAGGACCAGCCAAAAATCTCTTCACTTTCCCAAAATCTCTTCACAACCATAATCTTGAACCAAAATTTGTCCACACAACCATAGAAAGATATGTACACACACACACACACACACACACACACACACACACACACACATGCTGTAATAGATCATCTGCCTGCCAGTGTGACAGGAAAGATTGTGCACTCTCTTATTCTCTATATATAGAAAATCCTCAGGATTACAACATGGTACTTTCCATGACTGATCATGCATGACCTTACACATAGACCTGTTTAGAGTTAAAAACAGTCATGGACGTCCAGCAGCAATAACATCAGAAATTATACCGCTTGTGAGGAAGGAAGCTTTTAAAATGTGGTCATACAGTTCTTTGCAGACGATAGTACTGTACGTTCTGAAATGAAAATAAACACGGTGTGATCACTGAAATCTGTGTGTGTATGTGTGTGTGTGTGTGTTAGGGGGGTGTGGAAAAGAGAACTGATTTTTTCTTACAGAGGTGAAAAGAACAAATTCCCTCCCCTCTATGACAAAGACACGACTTCTAGCCAAACACAGCGTTCATTTAAGTTGCTGTCAACAATGTGGCAGTACAGGCTCAATGCACACCAGGAATGAGAACCAAAAAATGCAAACTTTCGCATTAAATATGAATATGGATACGTTAGGTAAACTTGCTGCTCCTGCCACAGCAAAGATTCGGTAAGAGTTTCAATTTTATTTGAATTTTTCTATCCATGTGGACGATGACACGCTGTCAGTTTTGTAATAACTGCCAAACTGTGACTACATTTGGTGCTTTGGCAACAAAATAAACCACAATTTCTTACATTTGTGCAGCACAGTGTTGGAAAAATCTGTTAATATTTCACCACAGGCAACAAAAGGGTTGAAACCTGGGCCGCTCATAGTACTACAAAATTCATTTCCTTGTTTCTGAATGACTGTACCAAATTATTATGTGTTTTCCAGGCAGCTTCAGAAGATCGTTCAAGACATCAAGAAAAACGATGGCAGCTTACTGAATAAACTAAGAAGGTCAGTGTCTACACTTTCCAGATCTTTACTGCTATATGCTAAATATAAGGGGGGAAAAAACACAGTGCAAATACATCAGTGTAAATTCATGTATTGTTAAGTGAAATACAAACCTTGGGAAATTTGTTGATCTAAAAAATCTCCAATATCGTGTGTATACAGTATATGTATCAGTGAAGAATGTCAATTCCTCTTTCACAATCGTTGAAATAAGAGAGAGAGACCCGCAAACCAAAAATAACTTCAACAGATGTCTGTTATTTCACTTTCCTTTCCTGAAATGAGTCCCCTGTAGACACATAAGGACAGATAGTGTAATGGCACTGAATTAATTCTCATACTGGAAAAAATGCACATTAGTCACCTAAGTACGCTTACGTAAATATAGACTGTTCACACTTTTACAGCACAGGTGTGTGCTGTGATGTATGGAAATGAAAAGTGTCTTTCACCAAGACAAAGTGTCAGTACTTAAACATTTACACTCTAATACTTGAAATCTCAACATCTTATTATTAGAATTGACATCTTGTATTAATAGTAAAGGGATGTGTTCACACTCAAATCACTGTTGTCAAAATCTCTTTATGTGGCAGACTGAAAAGCAAACCACTTCCAAAGGTACCTGCGCGAGATTATAGAGGTAAGAGCTGCGTCTTCATCACTGCCTCCACATCAAATGGTGTTAACGAAGCTGCGGCTGTAAGTCGCTGTCTGACGATTTCCCAGAGACACATGATATAATTGTTTTAGTGGAGAGTCTTGTGGTTGACGGACAGAACATCTTTATTGGAGTCTGTCTGCTGAAATACCCATATGTACATTGAAAGAGTTACTGGTTGCTGTGACCATTCTACGTAACCATACTGAGCATTGTTTTAAAACCGACTTGGAGAAAAGTTGGAAAAAAAAGAAGAGTACAGAGAGGTTTTACAACAACAATTTTACAACCGAGTCTCTGCAACACATGTACAGTATACAGGAGAAGTGTAATTTCAAACTCACACAGATCACCATATAACCAGCAATTTTCCTGGTTTTATCCAAACCTAACATGACGGAGTGTCTTTACTGATAACAAATCACTTTTATCCAGAGATTGTTTAAATTATACTCTAAAATCAAGTACAAAGTGTTATTAAAAATATATATACTTAAAGTATCAAAAGTAAAATGACTCGCTGGGCAGTATATTATATTATCAGGTCAAGTCAAACTTCAGTCAAATCATGTACAGAGATTCAGGATATGAGCAAGCGTGGTGACAGTGGCAAGGAAAAACTTTTAAGAGGCCGAAACCTTTTGCTGAACCAGGCTCAAGGTGGGGGGGGGGGGGGGGGGGGGGGGGGGGGGGGCATCTGCCTTGACTGGTTGGGCTGAGAGAGAGAGAGGTGAAACGAAAACAAGAGAGGAAAGAGAAGGAAAGAGAGAAGGGGAACAGAGAAAGACACACAGCCTGGACACTCATGTGCTTGAGGGAATAAGCAAACAGAGTTAGACAGATGCAGTGTGTTTTTCAGAGCGCTGACAGTCTCATCAGCAGGACAACATGGACTCTACTGTAGTCACGGGGTTTAAGTGGCAGAATGGTAACAGGTACAAAGTCTGTGAACACTCAAACAGAATACGGTGCTAACTGATGATGATGTGTAAAGATGAAGCTTCAACAGTGTCAGACAGTCTGATATGTAGGCAGTGAGATTGCTCCAGATGAGGGGGGGGCCCTCTGCAGCCAGCAGACGACCGTCTTCTGAGAACCCAGAGAACGAGATGGAATAAAAGGTTTATGGTTTTAAGCACTTTAAAGTCTGATCTGACGTGGACAGGGAGCCAATGAAGAGAGGCAAATTGGTGTAATGTAGCATTAGTATTAGAATTAGTATTAGTATTAGTATTAAATTAATAATAAAAAATAAATAAAAATACTCAGTAACTCAAAATTGTAACAAAGTGTAATAAATGTACTTCCACCTCTGGAGAAGATGATGTGTGTTGGTGCTGAACTGAACTGAAAAAGACTCAAAAATCACTGAACTGAATTGAGGAAAATTTTGATTTGATAAGATTCTAATTTCATCATGGAGATGATATGTTCACTGAGATACTTCTGCCTGTGACAATCACACCGTGTAAGTTTCATATCAGCACCATGGTGTTTACATTCACAACAGCCTCAAGAGCTGTTGTTTTTAACCGTTGTTGTTTATTCACTTCATTCACTGTTTATACACTTAATACATCATTAATCATTTTTCATTTACTTCTTTGTCTCTGATGACTTGTCAGACCGGGTTCACTCCACATTCTTTCACCCCATTCCTGCAAAGACACATGGGAAACATGGGATTATAAACTTCTGACTGATCAGACCGTTTTAATCAGGGAACACGTGGAGAACCACGTTGAACTTTACCACAGTTTCACTCCGCTCGCAGCTGAGCTTCAAGACAACAAGTATATGTCACCGCAGCTGTTCCCAGATGTTGTTTTCAGGAACGCACTGTGCTTAATTGTGTCAAGCTCCTGTTCAAATTGGATCACACAAATTGTAATAAAATCACATGTCGAGAGGTTTTTCAGCAGTTGAAGAGGTGAGGAGACACGCTCTGCTGGTTCCTCAACAGACCTGCTGAGGCTTTGTTTTGAGATTACTTGTAAACCTGCTCCTATGAATTTAATGCTGCTCTTTAATATGTTTTGAACAGCTGGATATGATGAAATCCACTATTCAGATATCTGCTTTTACATATTTGAACCCATCTATGGCTCATATTTCCCTCTTTGTAATGAAACCCCTTTAAATCTCTGTTTACAGACCATGACAGGGACAGTGATGATCAACTGTCTGAACCTGATTATGTAAGTTGGGAAAAATGAAAGTAATAAAGTAAGTTAAGTAATTCAAACAGTTGTTTTTTGTTTGTTTGTAACATTGAAGTATGTTGTTTCCAGGATAATGACACGTATGAGGATCCACATGAAAACCAGGATGACAGCTATGAGCCTCCACCCAGCCACAGAGCCCTCCCCACAACTCCCTCTGCTTCCATCCCAAGGGGGGAGTACCTCGGTCAGTACAGTCATATCTGCACGGCACACTATTTACTGCTTTTTATAACTGAAACTTTTTTGTCAATATGAATATGTTGAGTTTTTTTTATTAATTCCTCTAGTGCTCAATCTAAATTTTTGCATGTGTTGAGTTTCTATGTGTTTTATACTTTCTCCTTCGTAGTCATCACTCCCTTCTTGCAGAAGTGGAATTAATTTATTGAGCCTCTTCAATAGACACACTGTTCATCCAAAGCTGCAATACACAGAGGGCTTGTGAGTAGTGCTTCATGCAAATGCTGATGTCCTGTTTCTGCTTCTGCTTCTGCTTTCCAGACAGCTGCCGTAACCGTCCCAGCCGGCCACCCAGGAAGCCCCTCCGCCCAGCCAAAGCCTCCAGACAACTTCCCCCTGAGCCCACCCACATGGGGACCGACGAAGTAAAGCAGCATTTAAACTCAAGTTTACATAAATTTGTACCACAGGCTTCTTCTTATTTGTGGATAACATATCCTGTGTATTGGTAAATAGCTTCCATTGAATATTAAATGTGGATGTTGCTCTTTTTTTCATAATATGTTGCTTTGCAGGAAGACTATGTCAGTCCAGACGGCAGCAATGATGACGACAACTACGTAGAGCCTGCAGAGAATCCACCTGCCAGTAAGATACACATCCAAACATAGAGGAAAAAGACTTTGGGAATAAAATATGTGAAATAAATGAATAATTCTCTGCATGTCTGTGAATGTTCTCATTCGTCCAGGTCATTGTTATCTCTCTCTCAAATTAAATCGAAGGCAACTGGACTTGTATTTGTCTGTGGAAGACGTTTCGCCTCTTATCCAAGCGGCTTCATCAGTGATGAAGCCGCTTGCCTCAGTGATGAAGCCGCTTGCCTCTTATCCAAGCGGCTTCATCAGTGATGAAGCCGCTTGGATAAGAGGCGAAACGTCTTCCACAGACAAATACAAGTCCAGTTGCCTTCGATTTAATTTGAGAGAGAGATAATTCTCTGCATGCCTCTCCTCAGATCATAAGATGCATGTTGGGAGCAGAGCGGGGAGGGACAGACACATGTTGCCTACACCCTTACCAGAACGCTCACCCAGTCCCGGTAGGTTACTGGTCACTACCCTGTGTCGAATGTACAGTGGGGTCCAAACCCATGAGTCCACTTTCCCATTCAAGTGAATACTGTACTAAAGAAACTGTGCATGATATAATGGGGTGAATGATTACAGTTAATTAGTTGTCTGTTAAAAATTAATTGTCTGCACAAAATTTTGTGCAATTCCAAGACATGGTGTAAAAAGTATCACATACAGGAGTGTAAAATGAAATCATTTTATGGTCATGGGAAATATTTGGTTATACTTGAAATCTAAACAGGCAATCCACTGAGCATAGAGTCATCTTCGATCTGGAGCTTTAGCTTTTCTCTATAGCTCTAAATAATTCTACAGGCTGCAGTAATACCCACTATAAAAACTGAACACATTATGATATAGGCTACAGTGTTTGTTTTTTCAGATCTGTCCTCTAATAAACATAAAACAGGGATTTCTAAACCAAACCAATGACCCTGGACTTATAACTCATAACTGGACTCATAACTTTGACCCAAAAACATTCCCATATACAATATATTCTATTCTGCGCTTCCAACACAAATGATCCTCCATCATTTTCATTATGTTGAGTCTTACTGCAGTATATAATATATCTGAGTAATAGCTTATATTATGCAAACCCCCCTTTTGCTTCCTTTACAAATACACTACAGTGAGATACAGTCAAGACACGCCCTCAGCCAGGTACTGATGCTGTTGCAATGACAAAATGCAGCAGCAAATGGAGGCTTTTGTGGTTCTGCCTAATTTTGGCTTTGGTTTTTTTTTTCAGATTTTTATGAAGTTCCCGACAAAGAGGTGAGCTGTTACAAAATTAACAAGTATTTTTAAGGGGCTTTTATATGTGGAATTAAAAGCTGATGACATTTTATGGTTTCTTTACAGGAGAGCTCATTATCTCCTCTAACAAGCAGGTCAGTCTTACGCTTTCAGTTCATTCATTCAGTGTGAGATTAAAGCTTTTTGGAAATAATTTCGACGAGACTCTGAAACAAATCATTTCCTTGCATCTACCTTGCAGGCTGTGTCCAATCCCCACAACACAGTCACACTCTTTACCTCCGATACCCAGCCCCAGGTACTGTCTGTTAGAAAGGTCCCAATAAGATCATTTTAAAGTTATTACATTGTTTTTTTTTTCCCATTACTACACTAAAAATGAGTTGTTGCTTCTTTTTAGAGTGAATATGAGGAGATCTCCCACTCCTGTAAGTGTTGACAAACGTACAAGATTTCATTCAAATGAGGTGTTTGATCTGCGTCGCATGTTCAGGAGGACCCTGACTTCTTGGTTTTGTGATTTTGCAGGTCCAGGAGCCCACAGGTGACGACGAATACGAAGTTTGCGATCCAGATGATAGTGAGTATTAAATCAAACAACTGTTCTCCTCTTGACTTGCGTACAGAGCTCTACCATGAATCATTCAAGTATGGTGTGCCATCTAGTGGCAAGTCAGCGGCACAGGAGTATTAGATTCCTATACAGTCATAAAAACTGGTAGATCACCTATATTTAAATTATTATTTATTATTTATAATTATTATTATTATTATTATGCTCTTCTAGGTTCCCGTCCTAAACCTGCAGAGGGTCCTCCTCCGCTTCTACCCAAACCTTTGCCCAGAGAGTAAGCACCACTTCTCTAACATTTTTCTGATTATATGTAAATATAGAGAAACCTGTTTAAATTAAAACGGGAATAAGTGGATGTCTGATCATCTCATTTTCTTTCAGGAGGTCACCAAAACCCCCTCTAAGGCCGGTAGGAATATTTTTTTAATGCACAAAGACAAAATACTCGCTGCAAATAACCTGGAATATCATCCTTGTTTCGCTGTATTTTACTTTGGACTATTAGATAAATCTTTCATATGATAAACTAATGTTGAATGATGCTAAAAAATGTATTTGACTGTCTGTCTGTCGCAGAAGCCAGAATCAAAGCCAAGGGAATTTGAAAGTAAGTGTTAACATTCATTTGCATTATTCGTCGCACCAGAGCGAGCCTTTATTAAACGCTGGACAATCAGCCAGTTAGTGCCATCTATTTCCTGTGACTGATCTCTTTCCCTGAAACCCACATTAAAATGTGGCCAGCATGCATTTCATTTACTCTGTGTGTAATACTGTATACAATAATGTGGCCGAGTTGCGCACTTGATGCCTCGATGATGATCTAATTACACACATACTTGTACGTACATATGCTGCACTTACATACATGCGTTTATTTATGTACACTGATGAGTTCAGATGAAACAGAAGTCATTATCACTTGCAGATTTTCCACATTAAATCTATTCCAATTAAAAGGGGGTGAATAAACAGATAAAGCAGGTTAAATATGTACAGTATAAGCCTTGAAGCAACGGAAAAACCTATTTACAGATTTCATGTTTTACTGAATAGTAAACATACTGTAGATTAATTAGTGTATGTCTGGATTTCCACAGGCCAAACGCTGCCTGTGATGCAAACTGACCACAAAGTTCCTCCCAAAGCTTTTACACTGGACTTGAAACGACCAAAGTAAGAACTGCAACATGCAGTTCTACACTCTGCATTATACTGACACTGTGCATTATACACTGTTAATGCTACCTGAATTAGAGAAATTGCCTATAATCACAGCTTTGTGCTGTGTATTTACTGCAGTATGTTCTGTTTGTGGTTTCTATTGCAGGATTCCTATTCCCCAGTTTACCTCCCTCAGTGAGTACAGCTCCTCGTGTCTGTGTGACCATATGCACAGGACTTTTATACATTTGCATAAAGTGACATGAGTTTAGACACAAAATGTTTGCATATTTATAACTTTATGTGCTATATTACTCTAAAAGCTACATCACAACAAAGCACCATAATTATAATGTTTGTGTCTCTAATGTCCCAGGACCAACTGACAGACAACGTGTTTCTGCTGATAATGGACCACTAGACGGAGATAAGGTGATGCATATAAAACATGACATTGTAAATATGAATTAAATGACTCAACAAATTATATTATGTTAAACATTCTTCTGTTTCCCTCTGACTCTCAGGATGCAGATGTCTATAACAAGCCCTGGTATGCCAGCGCATGTGACCGCAAGACTGCTGATGACGCTTTGCTTCGCTCAAATAAAGTGAGAATCCTTTTATTTACTGTTCTTAATCCAACTGAGCATTATGTGGATTATTTCCCATGACCCCCCTGCTGGGTCCGACTGTGAGTGCTTTGTGCTTTCTGTTTCAGGACGGGGCGTTTATGGTGAGGAAGAGCTCGGGCCAAGACGTACATCAGCCCTACACTTTAGTGGTGTTTTACAAGGGCAGAGTGTACAACATACCAATCCGCTTCATACCAAACACTCAGCAGTATGCACTGGGAAGACAGAAGAGAGGAGAGGAGGTAAGAGTGGAGAGGGTTTCATTTCTCTCATTTTGACTTTGTGTGTCGGTCGCTGTGGCCTACAGTTTGGTCTACACCCTGGAGTTTGAAGGGTTTAATCAATGCTTTGCCCGCAATGCTTTAAGTATATACAAAAGAGCCATGTTTACTTCTGTCTGGGCAGTTTCCCCTGAGTAATAAAGTTTATACAAAAGGTGGGAGTAAAGTTTGACTACGGCTGTTGGTTTATAAGTCCATTAAAGATGTTATTATTGTTTGACTATAGTGGTATTAGTTTGCCAAATAAAGTTTAGAATTGAGTTATATGCAGGATGAATAGGCTTTGAAATAACAGCTCAACCATTGGACACTTAAATCCATACTAATGTACTGATACTAATGTCACTATATCATCACCTCCTTCAGGCAAGGTAAGGTAGGTTTTACTGCATGTTCAGTCATGTAAGATCATATCCTCACCTGCATCAGACTGTACAATAGGGTTTTTCACAATACACATTTTGACTTGTCATAACAGGAAAAGCACAGGTGTAACTCAGTGTAACTAATAATATTATACCATTCATTTTCCACTCAGCTATGACTGTGACAGTGGCTGGACACTGACAGCTGTGGAGTCCCACAGTAGTTGTTTTCACATCTGTAAAATGGGACGCATTACATTGTGGGGTTCTGAGCAGGAAATCATGAGGTTGCTATATCGAGCACAAATTTCACTCTCGGACTCTGCACACTCAAATTAAATGGAGAAGAGGAAGTATGGCGCACATATATAGTAAATAGGCCGAGACAGCATGAACAATACCAGGACCCTAAAACTGAAGCAGCTAAATGGAAATCAGCCATCACTGATGTTGTCATTGATGCTTTTCCTAATGTCACTTGTCAGAATGTGTTAAAAAAGGCCTTCATCCAGTTCTCAAAGAAAGACTGTTGAAGTTGGGATTTGAAGAGTAGATTGTGGTAAACATTTTAATTCTACATTAAGTTGTTCTTAAGTTTCTTCTGTGTTCCTGGCAACAGTGAACACATTTAGATATTGAGCATAGGAAGGCTGAAACTCATGGGGAAGTGATTCAGTTTTTTTATTTAAATATAATCAAATAAAAAATAAAAATGAACACAATTTGTAATACTCAGGTCGGCTAAAAAAAAATGGTGGTGTCACACAGACAATGTAACTGTCATTAAACACCTCAACCGTTCCTGGAAGGCAGCATAGAAGCATCCCGTAAATCAGCTTTTAAAATAATTCAAAAAAGCTTAGAGCAACATTTGGAAAACATAAAATTTCAGCTGATTAACTGACTGTGATAATTTTCAGCAGTATTCAAACGACCAACTCCTCCTCCTCCTCCTTTTCTTTCAGTACTTCACCAGCATCTGCCACATCATTGAGAACCACCAGAGGACTCCTCTGGTGCTGATTGACAGCCAGAGTTACACCAAGGATGCCACCAAGCTGTGCTACCCCATGAAGCCTTAGACGAGCTGGTGAACAGCCGAGCGACGGGGCTCGTGCGTACGGACCTGCTGTGTTTACTGTCAAGAGTGTTTACAGAACTGATCACGTGATGCTTTTCTCCTCCCGCACTGTTAATTCGAGGTGCTGCTCACAGGACTGTACGCCGGACTTGCCTGCACTGCTGGCCATGCAGAGCTCAAGTAGCACTGACTCAGACGACTTTTTAACTCATGTTTTATTAAGATTTTTTTAATGCTTGTCAGTAAAAAGTGTATTCAAATTAATGCAAGGAAGAAGACAGTGTTGCTGTAGCAGAGAGAAGCAGGTAGACAAATAATCCAGCAATGACAGCAGTACTTTAGAGCAAAAAAACACAAAGTTGTATATTTTGTTTTAATAAAACTCTTTTCTTGTGTTTCATCACTCAGCTCACATCTTCAGTCATCACAAAAAACAACCAGGAAATGACAACAGCTTCATTTATTCTCCGTTCAACAAGTAATGCTATCATACTCATGCACATCGGTTGCATAATAAAAACTCCTAGGCACTTGGTGAAAATTCTCTGGTAATATTTTACAGTACCTCTAGCTGGACTATATACAATTATAAATCTTTTATCTAAATTGAAAAAGTATATATATATAGATATATATATGTATGTATATATGTATAGATATATACATATACAGCGAGTTACTGACACTCCAGAGCCGGGGATACATGCACAATTTAGGTACATCTGTCCAATTCTCCTTGACTGACACACACACATACAGAGGAGCCACAGTTCCCTTTGCTGTGAATATTGAGGGATCATGGCAGCGTAAGGAAATGTTTAGCCACAGTAGGACACTGGTTGAGATTGTCAAAAGGCTTAGGCCTGATAAGGTGAGGTAACAGGAAATATAAATCCTCCTTTCATAGTGCAATTAAAAGATAAGATTATCATTTCAAGTCAAACGAGAGGAAACTCGCTGAGAAGAAAAAAAAAAAAAAAAAAAAAAAAAAAATCATCCAGGCCTCTTAATCTTTAAAAATCCAAGTATTTGATCTACATCACAAAACACCGGTTTACGTTTTAAAATTAATCGTGTCTAAAGGGATATCTGCTTCCACTGAATGAATGAAAATGAAAATATACCTACTACAGATTTGTACATAATTCGTTGTAGTTAATACAAAAATTGTACAAATCCAGATTCATCCAAAGGCCCAAAAAAAGCATAAAGAAAAGTATATAAAGACTAAATCTAAGTTCATAAATAAATGTTGAATAAAACAGCTTATTGTCCTTTTTTTTGTTTTTAAACACAGTTTTGGTATATCTGAGTAACCTGTGGGTCTCTGCGTCCCATTCCAAAAACATAAATATTATAGCTACCACACTGTATAGCCTACCCGTACATAAACTGATCCATAAGATGGTATGGCAAATATACATGACAGTGTTCTATACAAGATTCCATACGACAGTGTACTTAAATCACCTTAAATAAAGCTATTGCGTAGACAAAATACAAAAAAAATACAAAGAACTAAATTGTCAACACCACATCCATGTGGCTGTAGAGAGAGTTTATATCAAGCTACTGGGAGAGAGACAAAGGTAAATGTTTAAATTACCCTGAGAACATGAATCCTCCAGGAAGCATGACAATGATTTGATTCTCCTCAAAAAAACAAAAAAAAAAAACAACACCCACTCTTTATTAAGACCTTAAAAAACTGAGGAGACTGGATAATCACGGTTTCCATTATTACTTTGTTGTATTGCAACGTCGTCTTATTTCCAGACTAGTTTTTTTTTTGTTTTTCATCCAGTGTGTGCGACATTCAAGAGTTTTCACAGTTTGGCCTTTTCCACTCCATCAGATGTCGCTGCCGATGGACCATCCACATTTCCTGACTCGCAAAGACCCTGCCACAAAACCAGCAGCGAAACTTTGTTGCAACGTCCCTGCTGGGAGAGACTGCGCCCACTACTTCATACTTCTTCCTGCTCAACCTGCGAAGTTTCATCTTCAAAATAAACCTCTCCTGTACAGAGTTATTACCCAGCCGCACAGAGTCAGCTGGGGCATCTGTTGGGTCATTTGTCTCAGGGACCTTGCTGTTCATGGATGAAAGAGCTTTCAGAGTCCTGCGGGACAGCATGACCTTCTGCACCTCTCCTCTGTACCTGTTGACGACCTCCATGATCCTGGCCACCTCAGGGATGTCGGCATCTGGATGATTTAGCACCACGACAGGCTGGTCTCCCGCTGGACGCTTTACCAACTGAGATGGATTTATGGCTACTAACTTCAGGGTCCTCTCTTGGTTTCTTGGGGCCGGTTGCCACCGATGCCCAGAGGCTGGTGAGGGCTCCTGTTGGATGGCTTTCCCCACAGGCAAATGGGTGCTGCTCAAGAGATCTGGGCAGGAGTCTGCAGGCACTTCTGTCTCTCTCTGATCTAAACAAAGAGCAAGACTTGGATCTTCCAGATTTAAATTACCTGTAAGATATAAGGTGAAAATACTCATTTCAAAATGCTTTAAAAAAAAAAAAACAAACAAACAGCTTATTTAGTGCTCTTAAATGTAAAATTTAAATAAAATGTTAAAATGCATGTCAAGAAAATACCGTTGTTGTTAAATCTTTAACCATAATGTCTGTGTAGAAACTATAATTTGCAGTCTTACCCTGTGGTGTAATAACAGGTTGGGAAACAGGGGAAGACTGTGTGTAACTGCTATGAGGAGTCACTCCACCAGCTGCTGGACTCCTCTTATTGTCCGACACATGGCAGTCCATGCCACTGCCTGATGTTTGGAAGGGTACGTTCTTGGGGCACATCTCTACTTCAGCTGTCGAATTTGACTGTCCCGTCTTAGCAGCTGAACTTTTCTTGTCAACCTCTGTTTCTGAGAAATTTTGCGACCTCTCTGCGTCATCTTGTATTTCTTGATGGGTCGACGACGAGCCTCCGAGCATGCCAGGCTCATTTTCGGCCATATTTTTAGACCCCGATGGCTTTGCGGCACAACCAGGGATGAGCTCTTCCCCTGGTTTCGATTGCAGAGCTGAAGTGATGCCTTCAGTAGGATCAGTCTTGGAAGCTTTGGTCCATTTCTTCTGCTGAACTTCTGTCAGCGGCGCATTTTGAAGAAGCTTTGCTGTCGTCTCCATTGTTCTATGAGGACTTGGCAGCCCATGATAGTCCTCCATGGCACCATCTCCTGATGGAGACAGGGAGCTTTGTGACACCCACTGCTTCTCCTTTACAGGATTCTTCTTCAAGACTATCTTTAAGGGCAGTCCTGATGATCTTTTATCCACTTTTTTAGATGCTGTCTTTCGTTTCCGTCTTCTTTTCCGTCTCTTATTTTTTGGTAGGACTTTATGAATGGATGTCTGCTCTGCGCTCTCCTTTTTCAGCTTAAGCTCACTGGAGATATTAATCACTTCTTCATGCATAGGCTCCTGGTGTTTTTTACCATGTTCCTCAATTTCCTTATCAGCCTTTAATTCCTGATTCTCTCTGTTTTCCTGCATTTGAGTGCACTCGGATGCCTCACTCTGGGCTGACACTGAGACATCATTATGTAGTTTGGTTTCAATCTGTGGACAAGGTATATGATCGTTCAAATTTGACTGACACCCATTTTGGTCAATGACACCCCGGGTATCATCAGCAGCACTTTCGGGGAAAACGGTTTCTTTATCTGATGACGTCATCCTTTTCAATCTTTTGGCATAAGCAGCACCGTGCTGAGCTACAGTTATCTTGTTCTTGACCGTGAGGACAGTGAGATCCGATGAGTTCGACATGATGCCATTCTCCGACTTTGGGTGAAGATTCACTTCTTGAGGGACATTTGACAAAACAGTCTTAAGAGCCTTGGTCCATTTCTGGTCACCGGTTTCCCCGGCAACAGATTTCATCAAAAACTGCTGAGTCTCCTCTAGTGTTGTTTGTGGATCTGACAGATGGCAGTATTTATCCAGGAATTCTCTCCCTGGCAGAGACAGGCAGTCCTGTGTCAGCCAGCACATTTCCCTAACTGCACTTCTTGTTAATCTAGGCTTCATTTTTGGGATTGGGTCATTTGGTTTCATTGCTATGGAATGAAGCTCCTTCTTCTTCTTCCTCTGATTACCATTCTGGCAAACATGGGCAGCTTTAATGTGCTTAGTAATCAACCATTTCTGAGACGCCTCATAGCCACAGTGCTGACAACATAAAGTCTGAGTGGTTGCTTTAGGCCCAATCTGTTTCTTGTCCTTCGTGGGTGGCAACAGATCATCATTAGCTCCTTCCACGCCCAAATTATGCACACATATGTGTTCTAAAAATACTTTAACGTCCTCTGTGGAGAATCTCTGACACATTTCACATGAATATTTGCCATTATGGCAGTGATAGTTAGTCAGGTGTGCACTGAATTCTGGCCATGTGCGTTGAACGTTGTCATTACAAATGCTGCAACTAGAAAAAGTGTCCTTGTGGCTTAACAGATGAACCTGTAGACAGGAGAAGTCGTGTGTGTTAAAAGCACACATATGACAGGAAAAAACTGGTGAGCTCCCTCTGTGTTTTTCCTCAAAGTGTCTCACCAAATCTTTGGGAACATATTCCAAGTTGTCCCTGCATTGAGAGCATATGAACTTAAGTGTATTTCCGCTGTCATTTGTCCTGTGCTTAGCCTGCTGTGCTTTCTGGGGGGTCTTCTTTGATGAAGGCCACACTTTGCTTTGCTCCCATTCTTCTGCTATCTTCTTTGGTCCACGCTTATCTTTACTTTGCATAGTTGGGGGCTGAACGGCGGTCTTCCTGAGGTGGAGCCGTTTGTGCCAGTTTCTAGTCCTCTTGATGAAACGGTGTTTATTATCTCCTGTGGAGGTAGCTGCAGAAGTATCCATTGAAACCGTGGGTTTTCAGCTTTCTGAAAGTGCAGGAAAAAAACACAACTAAAAATAATGCAGCTTCAAGATGAATGCAACAACTCCGAGTGCTTGTTTCATTCACTTTTGTCATGAAATGCTTTGAAAAGACCCAGCATGTTCTGTGTGCTAGACTGCAGTTACACACTAAACCCATAAACAGAGGCTGCATTCACAGTCCTACTCTGCATGCTATTTTACTCTAAGTCCACCTGTTGCTGGCCACGGTTCAAACTGGCTCTGCGTGGATATTAATTCATCACACTCACATCAGGTATAAAACAAGGAACTTCGATTCTTATCAGCCACCAGGTGCAGGAAACTGCACTTAAGCTCACCTGCTCGCACAGTAGTAACAAACTTCATACTCCGCTCAAAACACAACTAAATGCGCTATGGTGCGAGGTGCGACTAAAAAACACCAAAAGCTAAGAAATGCACTGATGAAAATACTTAAATAATACTAGGCAGTACTTTTTTAGCAGCAGATTAATCGGCGAATCGTGCGGCCATTGTGTAGTTTGACTTGACCACAACAAAGTGATGAGACTGCCTTTGTAACGAACAACAAACGCCTTGGGAATAGTGAAGTTTAGACAAAACTATCACACTGTGAAACCGTAAAAGCCCCTTTTCCCCTTCGCACGAAAACACACGTTGTTACTAAGTAACCGAGCTAACTGCTGTAACGTTTTCTGAAATAACGTTTGAGTGATTTGAATTAACGTGACGCACAAGAGCTTAGAAAGACGAAATAACTTGAAGAGTAAAAAGCGTGGCGACAAAGTTACACCAGACCCGTTCTTTAACTTTGCATCGAGTTACTGCTGCAGCTAAACGCACCGGCTGGTGTAAATAAATAATAAAGCTGTAGTTCTTTGTGTAGTTGTCTCGGTTTTTACCTTTTCTTTTGTGGAGAGCTTGACAGCTCAGCGAGTGGCAGCCATGATGGTCTCATCCGGGGATTACAGCCTCTGAGCTCCTTTAGCCTTTAGCTGGTGCCTCTGATAGAGAGCCGTCCTGTCTGGGGCCTACAGCCACACCGACTTGTTTTTACGCAAACACTGCTCACACTGCATTAATGTAATGATGTACATAATTCACTTATGTCAGCAAAAGGGGAAACAACAACAAAATGCTGTAAAATTGCATTTCAGGTGAACTTTAATAAACCTACAATAAAGGCTGTCTTCACCAGCTGATAGCTATCCCTCAGTTTAATTGTTTAAGGTCAGTCTAGAGAGCAGGATGGTAAACAGTTCGACTACAATATGTCTACTGTCAAATACATTCGATGTCTCCATGTAATGCTGCCAGGCAAGACCCCTGCAGTGATCTGCCCCAGATATTAAGTCTATGGGCCCACCACAACACCCAGGTGAACTATATAATTGAAAAATGTCTTTAATTGTTAAAAATACTGCAATAGTGTGCAGATTTGGGGTGAAAATACAAATATCAGCCTCTGAACAAGGCGCTCCAGGGCTTTGTTGGTTAAAAGGTTAAAGGGTCCTGGGCATCTTACAAGTAAAATGAACTTCTGTGTAAATGTGCAGAACAACAATCAACTAAAATGACTGAAAGAAAAAAATGCATGAATTTTGATAAACTTTCTTAAATTGTTCTTATTCTACTTTTTGTTTTAAAGGGCCAATGTGTGAGTATTTTAGTTTAAAACATTAAAAACTTATCAAGATTATCAACAGAATGTGAAAAAAAAACAGTTTACATGTCATATTCAAGAGGTCCATGTATTGTGTTGCAGAGATATCTACTGAAGTTAGCATGCTAACCCACTAGCCCTGGCCTGTCCCATGTTACAATACAACTCTGTACCTCAACAGGCAATAGTGAGTCACTGTAGTCTGCCCTCAGTCCAACATAAGAGGATGAAAAAGTAGTAACTGTGAGTAGGCTATAAACCTGTGTTGCTGCCCTCCTCGCTTGGCAATATTCCTCCACTCTTTCCTCAAGCCCAGTCCTCGACCTCTCTGGGCTCATCCTCTACTCCTGCCACTATTACATCTTCCCCATCTCCCTGATTGGACAGGCAGGGTGTGAAATCGTAATCATAACTGAAGCAAACAACATACCAGTTACATAATCAGATTGCAAGGTAAATCTGTGTGGAAAATATTATTCCCCAATCCATGCAGGTTAGATTTATTCAAGCTAACATTAGCCCAACGTGAGGGTGAGTGTTGAAAAATGGTTGTTAGTGGCCAGGGAGCCCAGTCCCAGAATGTGCATGCATCACGCTTCCATTGCGCACCGTGAATGACAGGTACACACAGAGGGCTTGTAAAAACGTTATGAATTCTTTGATGGTCCACTTGTCAACCAATGCAGCAGTGTGGTATGCCTGATCGTCAGTCCAACTATGGCACATGGGAAAGGAGAGGAGTGGCGAAAGAGTAGGCCTACATTTCCTTGTTTCTTACGATAGAGGTTGACACTCCAACTTTCTGTTAATAAACTGCCCCCTTTTTGTTTGGAGTATGAATTGGACAGACGGACAATTCTTACACATTGTCCCTTTAAATCATAAAGCTATATTACAATATTACATTTTTAAACACTAAAGATATGGCCATAGTTAGCATAAAACCAAAGAAACTGTGTTTAGCTCAACAGGGAATGCGTCTTGTTAGCCCAGGCAAGTAAAGTGCATAATGTTAAACCCATTGTCTTACAAAACACATGGGAAATGAGGCTGTAGCATACTTCTGCTATGACAGAGAGAAGCAGGATGCCATTTGTGTCTGTCCAGCAGTTCACAAATACACAAAATGAAGTGCTGCGCCCCACAGTTCAATAACAGCCATAAAAATAGCCGGCTGGGCTTGAGTTCAGTAAATGTGAGACACTTTATTGCATCTAGATGATAGGCTGTAGATTACTGTAGTTCACACCAGTGATCTTTTCGGTAAAAACATATTTAATTAACTATTTTAGATACATGTAGCAATTCATTTTCATACTTAACATCATGTTATCTTGTATTTACTGACATTTTATATGTATTATAACTTACCATTTCTTCTATACTGCTTACATGTATCTTGTACATGTATTCTTTTGACTTATAAGACACATGTTGCCAATATATGGACTCCAGTCCAGTCTATGTGTCACATTCCTGTGTGACATATTGTAAGTAGGTTTGCTACTAAATCATAGGCATGACCCTACATGGGAAGAATAACCTTTGTGCTGCCTACAACCTGAAAAAGAACCATACCAAAACCAAGATAAGGTAAAGATGAGCCTTTGAGTTGCCAAGGAACCTCTGATGTACAGCAGAAAATCAATTCTTTAAACTTAGAAACCAGATGAGTCATTGGCATCACAAACACCCTCCTGAAAAGATAAAGTTCCCTCTGCAAACACTCAGGAATCGTTACACTTGCCGGTCAAATGTAATATCAATAACTGACAGCCCATTGACATCCTCAACTTTGGTATTTCTGTCAGACTGTTCACAGAGAGAACAACAGTGGGTTGTTCACACTCCTGAGCAAGTCAATGGCTGTCAGCTGCCCTCCAACAAGGAACTGCACGACACCAGGGGGAAGAAAGGCAGAGAAAGGACAGACCCCAGCTCTTTCCACCCAGGACACCCTTTGTTTCCTCTGGGACACAGTTCCAATCCTTTAAGAACAAGACTACCCACCACCTCAACAGCTTCTACCACAGAGCAGATAGTATTACCAATCCTCTTAAGACTCACCCCCTGCAAGCAGCAGCCACGACCTCTGGACTGCTCTTTTTTATTGTTTAAGCACAACACGGAACAACTATGATGTCTCTTTTCAGTAGATTTTCAATGTTTCCATAAAAACATATCAAAAGGAACATGCTTTATAGTTAATTTTCCTGGCAATAAATGTCTATACTACACAGTGAGATTGAGGTTTTTAATAAATCTAATTTTTTCACACACAAAGCTACTGAATATTGCATGTCTTTGAAATTGATATATATAATCTTCTGAGCGTTTTAATGACATATACAAACAGTGTTTTTATGTGTGATCGCCAAATTGAGTTGTTCTGGTAACATGGGACAACATGGCTTTAGATGAAAGTCCTTTTTCTCTCAAAGGACAGGGAAGCCATTGTGTAACATTGATGTTGCTTTAACCTATCTGGGTCAAATTGAATTGTGCTGTGCTGCTGGGGCAAACTGACCCATTTTGAATTTGAAATGACTCTGAGCATTTTGTCAACATTAAACATGCATGGCTTCTTTTCTGGGAGGAGTATGTATGGGAATACATTTCACCAACTACACACAAAATATTGTTATTGTTAATCTATTAGGACGGGGTCAGACTGCCCTGGTGAAACTAGATTGAGTATAGTACATGTACCAAAATAGGTGATTACATTTATTGTAAAACTAGCTAAATCTCAATGTTTCTGTCACAGCAGTGTGTCCAAACACATAAGCACAGGTACATGCGTCATGCACAGATGTATTTTCTTTGCTCTTTGATCAGATTTGCACCATATTTTATACATTTATGACACAAAACTAAAGGATTCATTTGGTGTGCATTTGGGCTCTGGGTGGCTCGGTACCACTGTAAGAGAGCAAGGTAAACAGGTTCAGTGATAGCAGAATTGTAGAAGTGAAAACTGACAATATCCGTTCAAAACAAGTGTTGTTGTTTTCTCTTCTTACTTTTAAAGCTAAGTGTGATCTAGCTTGGGTAAATGGCATATATTCATCTTAAATTTGCTTCAAATAGCTTAAAATGTCCCAGGTCAATTTGACCTGGCTTATGTCAGCATTGCCAGATAAACAGAAGGTAAAACACAGTTCAAATGTTTGTAACCTGCATATGTGCAACATAGTGTTTAGATATCTCACATGCTACAGAATAGCATTTTGCTGTGGCCTGCTCTTTTGTCCAAAAATGTATTCTTAATGTATCTGGAATTTCAGTCTATATTTTATAGCAGCTGAAGGGAAGTAAACCAGATGCATTTTAACCAATGAATCTACGGAGTTAATAGCAGGTGGCTTGCAATCTACCAGTAGCTCACCCCCTGTTAGAGCACATCCAAAGTTTCTGAGAATATAGTATGAGCAAACCAGGGATGCAGAGTACAAACTTTAAGCAACACAACTTCAATCACTAAATTTACCCCAAATGCAACTAAATCAAATACACAGACACACCCCCAATAGCAAATAATCATCAGTTGTCAATCAAATGAGTTACTGTCAAGTTTGTTTTACATCAGATCTGCCGTAGGAGACGGCTCTTCTGATAACAGAACAGATATATACTAAACTTTTCCAAAAGGAAATATGTTGCCATGGATGAAGTGAGTCAAGCTGTGCATGAACCTCAACTTGAGTCCTGTTCTTTGATATGATATGTGAATAAATGTAACCAGAAATATAAGACATGAGGAGCTCTCAGCCCCTTTTAATTTGTCAAAGTAGATTTCAAAGTAAAAAAGGTTGGAGACCCCTGGTTTATAGAAACATTTTGTGTGGCATCATTTTAGAGACATTAATTGTAGGGATATCTGCAATTGTCCTCAATTAACTCTGTATTCTGTAAAAAAAATATTTTTTTAAATTTTAAAAAAATTCACTTTGGCTTTTAGAAAAGCATGTAGTGAAATAATGATCAGATCCTCAATCAACAGTAAACAGCTCTTATTATTTTATTTTCCAATTAAATTCCGGACATCAATCAATTCACATGTTACAGTCATCTTGCTCTGTAATACTGGAGTTCATAAATCAGAATTTTTCCATTCCCTTTTATTGGGTATTGGCTGCATCTGGCTGCCGGCAATCTATGCAGCGATTGGATATTGACAGTTGTTATACTCACTTGTAATTGGCTGCGTCCTGTGTGCTCTATCAGTCCCAGCGATGGAATGATGCTTTCAAGTGCTTATAGGAAAAATTCTCACTCACAGAAGTTGCCTCTGAGAGACAATAGAAATTCGGACTTAGATATTAGGCTAGTTGCTAAAAACATTCTACCAAGGCGTTCATTCGTGTAGGTTTCCAATTTCAAAAGTGGATCAAGGCTGCATGAACCTGTTTTTAGTCTGTTTTAAGCGAATAGGCAAGATGAAAACATAATAAGATATGATATATAATGTAGCCTTGTATCAAAAGGGTGGTTAAAAATCCAACCTATTTTACCACCATTTTTTGTGCTTTTCACCTTTATTGGGTTTTCCGCTGTTTGTTCATGCGCTCGGAAACATGAAGTTAGTGTTTCCGGTAGCACTTGAAGGTAACAGTACCGTTTGCTGAACTCGTGCTGAGCTGACTACAACACTACAACAATGAGTGTAGCCAAGCATGTTCGGCTAGTTTGAATTGAAGTTTACTTCAGTGAAACTGCCCGTAACATTCACCATATGTGCTCGTTGGGTGAGTCTCCACTTTTGAACCGTCAACATTAACATTTTTAATTTCTTAGATTAGAGAAAACACAATGAACGACAGGCGATCGATCACGGTGCCCCGTCCTGATCCGCCACCGTGAACAGCTATGTGGGTGTTGCATGACACCCACACCGAGTTTAAAAGTGTCATTGTGCATCGGATACTGTTTTTTTCCATGGGCAGAACATCCTCAGCACCAGGTATTAGCTGATTGTTATTGCCTCTCACAGGTTTCCAAAGCGCTTTATTAAATGGAGCTGGAGGACCAATGGTGGAGAGGACAACTGGCAGCAGATATTTACCAAGCGCTACGGTACAAAGTGAGTGGGACACAATAATTTGGTGATGGCTGCCAAAACAGAAAAAAAATGTTAGCCATGAGTTGTTGTTTTTTTAATCTTGTGTTTTTTTTAAATCAAATTTATGCATAAAAGTTTGTCTTTGTTTCATGTATTTTTATTCATTTGTTTGTATTTTATCGTCTCGTCATCCCCTGTTAAATCTGAGTTCTATGTGTTGGATATCTGTGTTTTCGCATATCTGTGTTTGTTTGTGTTAGATAGGAGATTTTAAAGGTAGATACCAATGAAAAATCTGATGATATATTGATATATGTCCATTTTTCAAATAACATAACATACACAAACATTTTTAATAAAGGATCTTTTCAGTTTTTAAATTTATATATAAGAACTGTCCATGCAATCTATAACCAGAAGGTGATTTTGCACTTGTCTTTGCTCTCCAGACAGAACTGTGTAATGGAGATATTGTCTCTGAATTATGTCAAGCACATTTTTGTATTTTGTTACTTACCAGGCGACACATGCTGATATCAGTATATCTGTGATGATCTAATAATGGCCCAGACCAATTTGTCAGTCTGGCTCTAATGTGTGCATTTGTATTAAGTATATTTTTGCAAAGTGTTTTGTGTATACATATTATTATAACAGATTATAACTGAACTAGAATTTAATGGCCATCCAGTTTGTGTGCTCTGAGATCTCAAACACAATATGTTCTCTAACAGGAGCTCAAGTTGCCATCCTACAAAGGCCAGTCCCCTCAGCTGAACTTGAGACGATACTTTGCAGACCTCATCGCCATCGTCAGCAACCGCTTCAGGCTGTGTCCTGCTGCCAGACACCTGGCCGTCTACCTGCTGGACCTCTTCATGGACCGCTATGATGTCACAGTGCAGCAGCTTCACATGGTCTCACTCTCATGTCTTCTGTTGGCCAGTAAGTGTCACTGACTCCGACTAATCAGTGTGCATTGAGGTTATGTTTTGTGACCCTTCAAATATTCCTCTCTGCAGGTAAATTTGAGGAAAGGGAGGATCGGGTTCCAAAGCTGGAGATCCTGAACAATCTGGGCTGCATGAGTTCCATGAACCTGGTCCTGACCAAGCAGGGTTTATTACACATGGAGCTGCTCCTGCTGGAAACCTTCCAGTGGAACCTGTACCTGCCCACAGCTGCTCACTTCATAGAATACTGCCTGTCCATAGCTGTCCATGAGGGAGACCTCCATGATGGCTGGCCTATGACCTGCCTGGAGAAGACTAAACTATACATGGCCAAGTATGCTGATTATTTCCTGGAGGTTTCCCTGCAAGGTAAGTTGTTTTTTTTAATGGTATTTGGACTTTCAGGTCTCATAGGTGATCAAAAGACCTATAGTAGACCTATAGTATTCACTGAAGCAGTTCACATTGGTCCCAAAATTGGAGAAAAGTTTGAGTTTAAATCAAAAGACATTATTCAGATTTGACATTGGTTTAATTCTCACCCTCTCACAGCTCTCATTTGATATAGCACTCTTGTTGTAGCTGTTTGGTTGGCTGTCTTTCTGTGGCAGGGAGACAATGAGTGTAGCAGCTGCTTCAACAACCCACAAATTACTAAACCAGAGTAAAGTTACTAGAGTCTGGACAGCAATACAAAGCAAAAATCCACAACTACACATCCAGAGAGCAGTTACTGCCGTTTTTTGGTTTTTAGCTCTGTTTTGTAGTTACAGAAAATGTTATATGTTCTTTTCATGAAACGTTTTATGGCTTAATAATATTTTATATGGTAAAACGAACATCAGAAAGTCAGATTCTGGCCTCTTCTCCATTCTGACAAAATATGAAGTAACATTGCATTTTTTTCCTTTACAGAGGAGTACAGTTTCTCGCTGCATGTGGTGATGGATCGCTGTTTTTTTTCTTTCTCCCCTCAGATCATGTGTTTTTGTGTTTTGCCCCCTCACTGGTGGCTGCTGCGTGTGTGGCCGCCTCCCGCCTCATCCTCCACCTGTCCCCCACGTGGCCACCCCGCCTGCAGCACCTCACAGGCTACACATGGGAGAACCTCGTCCCGTGTGCTGAGAAGCTACTCATGTGCGTATCCGTGTGTGTGGCTCAGATAACGCTGAATTCCATACTGTTGATCAAAATGACTATAGTCAACAGGGACAATTAGAGACATGGAGTTTATCTTGGTGAGCGTGATACAGATAGATGCCGACGACTCCCAGTACATGCTGACACACGCAGCACAGTGACAGTAGGATCTCACACACAGTAGGAGCAGACAGTAGCCTAAACATTTCACGCTACACATTCAACTAGAGACACAAGTCAGTGCTCTTCCTGTAGCACTGGATGTTTTCATTAATCAACAGTGCCACTCTTTGTCCGTTTTTCTTACTCAGTGCACATGACAGTGATGTCAAAGAGGCCAACAAGCAGAAGTGCCAGCAGCCCGGCCAGCAGCAGCAGCAGCAGCAGCAGCAGCAGCAGATGGTGTACCACAGTTCAGGCCAGACAGCCACTGTGGCCCAGTACCTGCACCGGCCTGGCGTGCAGTATCCTCAGCAGGCTAACCAAAGGCCTGCCTCCTACCTCAGCCACTCCACCACCGGCCTGCAGGCTCCGAACGGCCCCCAGCACGGCAGCACCCAGGCCATCACCGCCTCACTGGATCCAAAGTCCAACATCACCAACAGGGCTTACCAAGTCAGCATGCACTACACCTGCGCCGCGCCGTGCTTTGACAGATGATGGATTTCTTCATTTGTGGGGAGGAAGAGAAAAGAGGTGGCGATGTGTTTCTCTTGAACACAACAGAATACACTGAAGGGAAAAGCGTGTTTTTAATTTGAAGAGACTTGATGAGATTGGTGCAGCACTTTGAACCATAAGGTGTACGCAACGTGCAATATGGATACTCTGCTGTAATTTTCTGTGGAGAGCCTTCGTGAGGATTTTTTTTTTTTTCAAGATGTTTGAGATATCAGGAGTGAATGTTGCTGTGAGCTGATTAGAGGCAGAGTTTGCACCACTGTACCGACTAGTGTTACTGTATAATTTAGCTACAGACCAAAAGTCTTGTATTTAATTAAGCCAAAGTACCTCAGAAGTATTGAACATATTTACCTTGTGCCTAGAGTCTTCATGACTATTACTATGCTAAGTTAAAAGGGCAGTAACGAAAGGGATTTACGTGGGTTTGTGGTTGAGATAAGAAAGCACAGTTTGTTTGGGTGTTCTGTACCTTGAGTTTTTTTTTTTTTTTTTTTTTTTTTTTTTTTTTGATGAGTGTCATTTGTAAAACTAGGAAAGAAAATACTCCTCTAGATGTCACAATTTATTTGCGTAATTGTTGCTCTTCTGTACACAGAGGATTTCAGTCAGTGCTGTGCACTCCTATGATGATAGTTTTAAATTAAATACAAATCTGTGTTAGTTGAACTGAAATATCTCTCTATTTTCTTTCTTTGATATGTCATGATATTAGCTAAAATAGGTTCTGGTTTAAAATTTGATCTTATAATTGCTGTATCAAAATCCTTAGACATGGGTGATTGAGGACAACACCATGCATCAACTTTTTTAGTGTCTGTGGGAGAAAACAAACGTCTTTTTAGTCAAGTATTTGTACAATTTTTAGGCATTTCCATTTTCTGCCATGTTCTACCTGTACTCCAACAATTCAGAGGGAAATATTCTTTTCATTCAACTACATTCATCTGATTGTTGGAATTAGGTTAACATTGTGCACAGTGCAGTCTATTGCTGGATCCTAAAGTCTTAATTTCTTAAAACAAGTGAAAAAATCTGTCACAGAAGAGTGATAATTTCATCTTGTTTTAACAGAAGTCAACTAGCTGAATTTTTTTTTTTTTGATATTACACTGATAACATCCATGTAATTTGACTAAAGTAAAACCTTAAATGTAGGACTTTAACATCTAGTAAAGAGCATTTTCACATTGTGTTATTGTTACTTCTACTTTAGTTAAGAATCAGTGTACTTTTTCCACCACTGGCTGAAGTTCAGAGGCTTCAAGCATATTTTTGACCCACAGTGACACGATGTGTATGTGTAGACGAGTGAGTCACAAAAAATATCCTGACCTCTCATATCAACTGATTGCATAATCATCAGTATTTACAAGGATTGGGAAACATGAAACGAAATGAATCAACTATATTTGACTGAAATAGAAATATCAAGAACAGACCTGTTTCTGTTTTTGACATGAAAGTCACAAAACGTCCCCACTGCAGTGGCAGCGAACCCAGAAGCAATTTTGGATTTGACATATTGGCTGGTCCTCAACTCAGCAGTGAGAGCAGCCAGTTAATAAAAAATGAGATGTCCAGACAAGCAATAAGCCAATCCAGTGAAAGTAAGGGTGCCCAAGAGGGTAAGGTGCTGACCATGAACTGCAACTGAAACATTCTGAGTGCACATTTTTATTGCATGTCATTCCCCATTTCTCTCTTCCTTCATTTTCTGTCACTTTCTCTATCAAATAAAAGTATAAACTGTCCAAAAAGTAATGCATCATGGGTAAAAGATGAAAGGGGAAAAAAATATATAAATGCAGAACCGAGGCTCCAGTACAGCTTCAGTGCTCCTTGGAATAGATCAGGGGTCTCCAACCTTGCTGAGAGCTCCTCATGTCTTATTTTACTGGTTACATTTATTCACATATTGAACACTCAAACTGATCTCCAAACCAGATGAAGAAGATCATTTAACAAGTCATCAAATATGACCTGAACACAAAGACATGATGACACCACTGCAAATAAACATCCATAAATCTGCTTAGAAATCAGTGGAAAAAGAAGCCCCTCAACTCTCAGTGATCCAGTGAGAGTTGTCACTGAATCCAATGGTATATAACAAACAGGAAAGTTGAAATAGCTCATTCGCTACACTTCATTTTCCAAAATGTAAACAAACATGGTCAAAAAAAAAAAAAGAGTTGAAGTTGAAGCCACAGCTTGACTCACTTCATCCATGGCAACATATTTCCTGTTTGTTGGAAAAGTTTAGATCATATCTGTTCTGGTCTCAGAAGAGTTGCTACTGCATGTCACCTAGGGCAGATCTGATGTAAACAAACTCGACAGCGTAACTCAATTGACTGACAACTGACAAATAATGATTTGGTGTTGAAAACTCAAACCATTCACTGATCGTTTGAACGTGTATGAATACATCTGCATTAATTATGTTTCTGTACTCATTCCTTTAAATGTCTCCCTTGGTTTTAATTTGTCACAATAACAGTTTGTTGAGTATAAGTATGGTAATGTATGGTGACTTTAAAAACTCAGACCCCCAGACTCCTGAGCAGTGTCTTTCCTAAAGCCATTCACACTCTCAATCAACGTACAAAATAAAAAAAAAAAGTGCAATCATTACTGTGGACTGTGCAATCTGAAGACTAGCACTTTATATTTATTGTTTTTATTTGTTTTTTGTTTTTTTTGTTGGTTTTAACTGTGTGATATATTTTGTGCAATGTGTTCTTCTTAACTTGCATGCACCAATCAGGTGTAGCATTTTCAATTTCATTGTATTTTGAATACAATGAAAATAAAGGCTTTCTATTCTATTCTATTCTACTCTGAGGAACCTTTTTGCTCTGTTTGTACTCGATACTGAGCCAAACACATAACACAGCCACCAGTCAATAACTCTTTATACTGTTTGTGATCTATACACTCTGTGCAGTAAGTGATTCACACAGTAAATATACAGTATATACCATCGTTAACAGCTTATGTCCTGTGACAAGTCAACCCACAGTCTGCAGAGGGCAGTATGTGTCACATTTCTGATGAGGCTTTTCTTCTCTGTGGCTTTGCAGCTCATGTGTGCTGAAAGATAAGCTCTGACATTAAACTCAGTGATGTCATTAACATGTCAGCAGTCTATGTGTTTCAATATTTCTGATACGCTGCTCCTGCACATACAATATTGCCTCTTAAAAATCATCAAAATAAGCTTTTGTTCTCAAGAGATAAGTCAAAGTTGCACAGTTAATTTATCTTATTTCAGTGAATAGGATTGGTCAGTCAAAGCTTGGGAAAGGAGAAGCTAAATATTTATTCTAGTGTATCAGAATTGTACCTCTGGGGTGAACCGCATGCCTCACTCTCCTGGACATCAGAGGACAACTTTAGACACAAAGTCATTCTCTGCTTTGTTACATAAACTCCAAATGACTTTGTTTTCCTTCCACTTCAGTGTTTTGTTATTTGCCTCTGACTCTGGACTCGTGGCTATACTTAGGGTCAGGGTCTTGAGAGATCTTAATTAAAATCAGTTCCTGTTATAAAACAATGTGGTCTAGCGCCAAGTAAACCTTTGATGCAGTCCTGATTCTTACATGTCATGATGTGGCAGACTCACTAAAATAGCATTTCCGTTCTGGGAATATAAGCTGCAGAGTTTCCTGTGGAGGAGGAAGCAGAGTGATGAATATAGTGACGAGGACTGAAGTCGTCACGCTGCTTATGATTCGCTGCCGCCCCCCGCCCAGACACATTGGATATCAGCTCAGAAGCCAAACCAGTAGGTGGACCAAGATTTATGATGTCAACCAGGCAGCTACACCGCTCTTCTCTGCTTTTTTTCACCGCCTTATTTGTTCACCAAGTCCTCCTCTGTCTGGGTAGAGAAGCCACTTATCCACACACCTTTCAAAATACCTATTGGCCCTGTGTTCATGCTTTTGTCAGTCAAAAGAGTCCAGTGTGTAGTCAAGAGGATGACCACCAGGCAGCATGGGAAACTTGAAATCTCAAAACCATATGAGTTTTTTTTTTTTTTTTCATTTACATTTCCAGACAAAGTTCAGGAGACAAGCTGTAAAAGGAAGGAGTTCAATGACTTTCACATGCTTTTCTGTGGTTGCTCAAATGTTTTATGTGAAAAACCCAACCACCCACCCACCCATCTGTTGCACTAAAAAACAAGCACTAGCATAGTTTAGCAAATTGTATTTCCCACATTCAAAATGTACATATATGAGTGTAATATTCAGTGTGATGTCATCCTCTGGTGAGTCAGGGTGACCTCTGAAAGAGCTTGTGTGGTTTATCTTGGTGCCAGTGTTCAGCAAGCCAATGAACCGTCCAGTCACAGATGAAAAGAGAAAACTGAAACAGTGATAAAATGATTGGTCATACTGACAGGAGCTAGAACCTTGTCTAAACTTAGGTACACAACACACACACCTCCATTACTGTAATTCCAAGTATCATTAGCAATGGAAATACTGCAACTGCAACTGCACAGTTTAAATCTCTCTATTCATAAAACACTTCGCGAAATCTTGATTGACAGGCCCTGGAGATACAGCCAGTCTGATGGAGTCTAAGATGTTGACCTGGCACTAGATATGAAGACTGGAGGTGGATGGTGTGGAGGACGGTTGCAGCACTATGCACTGAATGACAGCTGACAGCAGGAGAGAGGAGAACAGATTTTAAAGTTTGACAGCGACAATGTAATTGGCTGGTTGAGATCATAACGAAATCTGATTGGTTACTGGAAAGCACCTGAAGTTAGCTGATCACAAGAAGTGGAATGAGAGCGGGAAAGAGCAAGAGAGAGTTGTGAAGGACTGAGGCATAAAGATATTCTTCCTGATTGAACTTTATAGACTGAAATAGGAGGGGACCTAAAATTAACCCCTGTGGACACCACAGATATGTGAGGATATATAGACTATATGGAAAAGAGTTTTATCTGAAAG